ATTGGAAAAATATTTGTGGTTTGTTAATAGTGTTGATTTAGCATTTGCTCAGCCTTTAAAGTTTTCCTGCCAAGCTACCACCACACTTTGTTTTACTGCATGATTTAACATAGCAATTTTTATGCTGATAAATTTTCTTCTTTCTAAAATATTATCAATTTGTGTTATTTTGGTAGCAGTACATGTCACTTTTGTTTTTTTATTGTAGGTATATGCGTGAATATGTTTTACTTGTGAGAGATCATTGCTCTCTTATTTGTGTCGATGACAAACATAAAGTCAAGGTAGGGGAGCCAGGGTTTCCTGTGGCCTCAGCAGAAAGGGGGAGGAGAGTAGCAGTGCGTGCTGATGAAAATTTTGTAGTGGGAGACCATGATTTTAAGAAGTTTGGGCTTATTCCATCAGTGACTTTTATTATCAAGATTCCAGATGAAATTTGTGGTTCATGGTATGATGGTAAGCACATGTATTTTCAGTTTGATATTATCTCATTTTTCCAATATTTTACAGGTAAAGTGTATGTTGGTCTTAAAGATTCAGTGTTTGAACCTTCCTCTCCTATTCGCCACATGACAGAATTATATCAGACTATTTTGAAGACTGAAACTCATAAAAAGCCTATATTATTTATATACTCGGACGGTGGACCAGACCATCGCCTGACATACATCTCAGTTCAGCTGTCTTTAATATGTCTCTTTATTAAGCTAGACCTGGATTATCTTTGTGCTTGTCGCACTGCACCTTATCACAGTTGGAGAAATCCGGTTGAGCGAATTATGTCTATTTTAAACTTAGGATTGCAGTGTGTAGGACTTGCAAGGGAGCAGATGACTGAGGAGTTTGAGAAAGAAGCAGCAAAAGCGAATTCGTTATCAGAGTTAAGAGCCATTGCATCACAAACCAGTGGATTTGAAGCAGCTGTTGCAAGCTCACTTTCACCTGTAAAATCTCTACTTTATAGTATTTTTAATCGTCTCAAGCTTCACGATGACTATATTCACACATTTGATTCTGCGTCTACAAATGGATATAGTGATTTTTGGACATCACTTCTTGCTA